CCACAGCCTCCCCGAATCCCACAGCCTCCCTGAACCCCCAGAGCCCACAGCCCCCCGAACCCCCCAGCCGCCCCGAGTGTCCCGAGCCCCGCGGCCCCCACGCCTGCCCTGGAGCACAGGCCGGCCTTCCCGTTTCCTCCCGGGAAGCCCCACGGCCCCTGCATTGTTCTCGGCACGGATGCGGCCCCAGCAGAGGCGGGAGCGGGGCCAGGGGCCGGGACCCCGTCAGCTGCACCGGGGAGCGGCACCGGGGCTCCTCAGGGACGGGGGGGGCGGTGTCCGGGTCTGGGACCTGTCCTGGTCGGGGACAGTCCTGGTCTGGGACCTGTCCTGGTCTGGGACCCGTCCTGGATTGGGAAATGTCCTGGTCTGGGACCTGTCCTGGTCGGGGACAGTCCTGGTCTGGGACCTGTCCTGGTCTGGGACCTGTCCTGGATTGGGACCTGTCCTGGTCTGGGACCTGTCCTGGATTGGGACCTGTCCTGGTCTGGGACCTGTCCTGGTCTGGGACCTGTCCTGGTTTAGGACCTGTCCTGGATTGGGGCCTGTCCTGATCTGGGGCCTGTCCTGGTCTGGGACCTGTCCTGGTTTAGGACCTGTCCTGGTCTGGAACTGTCCTGGTCTGGGACCTGTCCTGAATTGGGACCCATCCTGGTCTGGGACCTGTTCTGGACTGGGACCTGTCCTGGTTTAGGACCTGTCCTGGTCTGGAACTGTCCTGGTCTGGGACCTGTCCTGAATTGGGACCCATCCTGGTCTGGGACCTGTCCTGGATTGGGACCTGTCTTGGTTTAGGACCCATCCTGGTCTGGAACTGTCCTGGTATGGCACCTTTCCTGGTCTGGCACCTGTCCTGGTCTGGCACCTGTCCCGCTTGCCGTGGCAGCACTGGCAGGGTCTTTGCTCCCTGGCGTCCATCTTGCCGCGGTTCCAGCTGCTCCTGGGCCACGCTGCGGTGTCCCTGCTGTCCCCCATGCCGTGGTGGCTGTCTGCCCTGCCCGGGCACACCAAAGCCTGCCCTCGCTCACGGCCTGGCACAGCGTCCCCATGGCACCGCTGTCTGCCGGGGGCACCGTGCCCTCCCCGGGGTCTGAGCAGAGCCATGGGGGACAGGCCAGGGCTGGCAGTGCCATGGGGGACAGGCCAGGGGTGGCAGTGCCTTGGGGGACAGGCCAGGGGTGGCAGTGCCATGGTGGGGACAGGCCAGGGCTGGCAGTGCCATGGTGGGGACAGGCCAGGGGGGACAGGCCAGGGGTGGCAGTGCCATGGGGGACAGGCCAAGGGTGGCAGTGCCATGGGGGACAGGCCAGGGCTGGCAGTGCCATGGGGGGGACAGGCCAAGGGTGGCAGTGCCATGGGGGAACAGGCCAGGGGTGGCAGTGCCATGGTGGGGACAGGCCAAGGGTGGCAGTGCCATGGGGGAACAGGCCAGGGGTGGCAGTGCCATGGTGGGGACAGGCCAAGGGTGGCAGTGCCATGGGGGAACAGGCCAGGGCTGGCAGTGCCATGGGGGACAGGCCAGGGGGGACAGGCCAGGCAGTCCTGTGCTTCAGGGAGGAAGCACTGCCTGTCACCTGCCATCCCCCTGGAGCTCGTGCCTCGGTGCCAGCAGCCCCTGGCAGTGGCAGCACCGTGAGCACACGCCAAGGCCCCCAGCTGCACCGTGTCCCATGCCAGGCCCTGTCACCAAACCAGCCATCGTGGCACCTGTAGCTCACTGGGGACAGGCAGGAAGGGTCCGCTGCCTGCATGGGGACAGGCCAGGGGTGGCAGTGCCACCCTGGCATCACGCTGTGCCACCCTGCCATCATGCCCCAGCTCCATGCCATGCCACCCTGGCACGCTCCTGTGCTGCAGGAGGACACCAGGGCCACCAGGAGGGAGTGGCAGCAGCTCCAGGCTCTGTCTGGGGGTGCTCAGTGCCAGTGCTGGGCTGGGCTGTGCCTGTCACACACACCTGTCCTGTACACACCTGTAACACACACACCTGTCACACACCTGTCACACACACCCCTGCACATGTGTGTGCCATGAGTGTGTCCCTAACGCACTCCCCTGTCCCACGTGCCCGTGGTGATGGGCCACACCAAGGGCCCCCCTTGCTGTCCCCTTGCTGTCCCTCACGCCAGTGTGGTGGCACAGGTGTGCCAGGCAGGATGGGCAGTGCCAGTGTCCCCTCTGCCCACAGGGCACTGGACACCTGGGGCACATCCCAGCATGGTCTGGTCTGGATGGCACCATGGCCCATGCCCCCGTCCCCAGAGTGTTGTGGCACCTGGCTCTGAAAGTGTCATGGCCCAGTGTCGTTCTCCTGTGGTGCCATGTCCCTGTGTCCTGCTCCTAGGGGTATCACGGTGTGGTATCCCAGTCCAGAAGGTGCCATGTCCCTGTGTCCTGCTCCTGGGGGTGTCATCCCAGTCCAAAAGGTTCCATGTCCCTGTGACCTGCTCCTGGGGGTGTCATCCCAGTCCAGAAGGTGCCACGTCCTCATGTCCTGCTCCTGGGGGTGTCACGGTGTGGCATCCCAGTCCAGAAGGTGCCACGTCCTCATGTCCTGCTCCTGGGGGTGTCATGGCAGCATGTCCAGGTCCCTGTGGTGCCATGTCCCTGTGTCCTGCTCCTGAGCATTCCGTGGCTCCACGTCCTGATCCTCATGGTGTGTCACCTTTTGTTATGGTCCTAAGGACGTCACAGCATTTTGTCATTGTCCCAAAGGCATCTTGTCTCTCTGTCCACGTCCTGGGGGTGCGGTGACATTGTGTGGTGGTCTGAGGGCGTTGCTGCAGTGTCCTGGCCCTGAGCAGGCCATGGGAATGTGTCCTGTTCCATCAGGGTGTCACACACACCTGTGTGTTTGGTGACCTGGTGCTCAGGGTGACACAGCAGCGTGTCCTGGTGCTCAGGGTGACACAGCACTTGTCCTGGTGCTCAGGGTGTCACAGCAGCGTGTCCTGCCCATGAGGGTGTCACACACACCTGTGTGTTTGGTGCTGAGTGCCATGGTGGAGCATCCTGGTGCTCAGGGTGTCACAGCAGCGTGTCCTGGTGCTCAGGGTGACACAGCACTTGTCCTGGTGCTCAGGGTGACACAGCAGCATGTCCTGGTGCTCAGGGTGACACAGCAGCGTGTCCTGGTCCATCAGGGTGTCACACACACCTGTGTGTTTGGTGCTGAGTGCCATGGTGGAGCGTCCTGGTGCTCAGGGTGACACAGCAGCATGTCCTGGTGCTCAGGGTGACACAGCAGCGTGTCCTGGTGCTCTCAGGGTGTCACAGGACTTTCCTGGTGCTCAGGGTGACACAGCAGCTTGTCCTGGTGCTCAGGGTGACACAGCAGCGTGTCCTGGTGCTCAGGGTGTCACAGCACTTGTCCTGGTGCTCAGGGTGACACAGCACTTGTCCTGGTGCTCAGGGTGACACAGCAGCGTGTCCTGGTGCTCAGGGTGACACAGCAGCGCGTCCTGCCCATGAGGGTGTCACACCCACGTCTCCTGGCCCTGGGGCTGCCGTGACACCGTGTCCTGGTCCCAAGGGTCCCCTGGGCAGGTCACACCTGGCCCGCACGAGGTGGGACTGGGACCTTCCAGCGCGGTGTGCTGCCATCCCCCCCGGCAGCACCAGCGCAGCTCTTCCCCTCCTCCCAACAGGCGGAAAGCAGCGACACCCCCAAAGACACCGCGGCCGTCCCCAAGTGTCCCCCGCCCTGCCCGGAGGCCAGTCCCGCCGAGCCGCTGCCCAACGGGGACGTGGAGGGGGACGCGGAGGAGGCCGGGGCCAGCCCCAAGGGCGGCCGGCCCGAGGAGGACGAGACGGAGAGCCTGGCGGACGGAGAGACGGGCCGGGCGCTGGAGAACGGCCGCTGCACCCCCAAGGAGGGGCTGGACGCGCCGGCCGACGAGGGTGAGCTGGCCCCTTCCGACCCCCAGAAGAAACGCGGGAGGAGGAAACTCCTGGAGGCCACAGAGAAAAGTAAGAGCTCAGCCTTGGGGGCTCCCCCCACGCTACAGGGCCCGGCCACAGAGACCCCCGGGGAACCCTGGCCCCCAGGACCCCCAGGGACCCCCAGTCCTTCAGGGACCCCCAGCCCCCAGGGACCCCCAGTCATTCAAGGAACCCTGGCCCCCAGGGACCCCCAGTCCTTCAGGGACCCCCAGCCCCCAGGGACCCCCAGTCATTCAAGGAACCCTGGCCCCCAGGGACCCCCAGTCCTTCAGGGACCCCCAGCCCCCAGGGACCCCCAGTCATTCAAGGAACCCTGGCCCCCAGGGACCCCCAGTCCTTCAGGGACCCCCAGCCCCCAGGGACCCCCAGTCATTCAAGGAACCCTGGCCCCCAGGGACCCCCAGTCCTTCAGGGAACCCAGGGACCCCTGGCCCCCAGGGACCCCCAGCCCCCAGGAAGCCCCAGCTACTCAAGGACCCCCAGCCCTTCAGGGACCCCAGGGACCCCCAGCCCTTCAGGGATCCCTGGCCCTTCAGGGACCCCCAGCTCCCAGGGACCCTCAGTGCCCCAGGGACCCCCAGCCCTTCAGGGATCCCTGGCCCTCCAAGGAGACACCCAGCCCCCCAGTGATCCTTGGCCCCCCAGGGACCCCCAGCCCTTCAAGGACCCCCAGGCCCCCAGGGATTCCTGGCCCTTCAAGGACCCCTGGCCTCCAGGGACCCCCAGCCCTTCAGGCATCCCTGGCCCTTCAGGGACCCTCGGCCCTCCACGGAGACACCCAGCCCCCCAGTGATCCTCGCCCCCCCAGGGACCTCCAGCCCTTCAAAGATCCCCAGCCCTTTAGGGACCCTCAGCTCCCCAGGGACCCCCAGCCCTTCAAGGACCCCCAGCCCACCAGGGACCCCCAGCCCTTTAGGGACCCCCAGCTCCCCAGGGACCCATGGCCCCTCAGGGACCCCCAGCCCTTCAGGGACCCCCAGCTCCCAGGGACCCTCAGCCCCCCCAGGGACCCCCAGCCCCACCATCCTGCTCCACGAGGGCTCTGGGCTGGGCAGTGCTGCCACAGGAGGAGGAGGAGGAGGAGGAGGAGGAGGAGGAGGAAGGGCTGAGCCCCTCCATGCCATGCAGGATTTGGGGGGGGGGGGGGCTGTGCTCATCCCATCCCCCTTTCCTGACAGCAGGAACAGGGATTGGGCTCCTTGTGCTCGGTGCCCCGTGGTGCCAGCACACTCCTGTCCACCTGTGAGACCTCCCTGGCACCCGTGCCCCCACGGCAGCCGTGCCCGTGCCCAGGAGGCGCTGGGCCCCGGCAAGCGGGCAGGGCAGAGGGGCCAGCGCCATGCTGAGGGGGCAGCCCCTGCCCAGCTGGGGCACAGCTCAGCACAGGGGGTCCTGGGGGTCCCAGGGCATTTCTGGGCCATGTCAGGGGTGCTCAGGTAGTGCAGCCACCCCGTGGTGCTGGGACCAGCGCTGGGTCCCCAGGACACAGGGACAGGCTGGGGACAGCCCCGAGCAGCCTGTGATGCTGCAGGGCTGGAGCGTCTCTGCCGGGGTGAGGCTGAGGGAGCTGCGGCTGCTGAGCCCGGGGCAGAGCCCGGGGATCCCCGGTGCGGCACGGGCCGGGAGGGCCGTGCGGGCGAGCCCGGGGCAGAGCCCGGGGATCCCCGGTGCGGCACGGGCCGGGAGGGCCGTGCGGGCGAGCCCGGGGCAGAGCCCGGGGACAGGACCAGAGGCCGTGGCCCAGGCTGGAGCCCAGAGGGTCCCTCTGGAGCTCGGGACAGCCTTCTCAGCACTCCCAGCTCCGGCACTTGGGCCTTCCTGACTGGAATCATCACAGACTGACCGGCCAGCCATGGCGAGCCTGTGCCGAGCCAGGGAGAGTCCGGAGGGACACGGAGCTGGGATGGAGCTGGAAGAGGCAGAGATAGAGATGGAAGAGGCTGGGATGGCTGGGGCAGGCAGGGATGGAGCTGGCAGAAGCAGGCATGGCTGAGGCAGGGAGGGATAACTGGGGCAGGCAGGGATGGAGCTGGAAGAGGCAGGGATGGCCGGGGCAGGCAGGGATGGCTGCGGTAGGCAGGGATAGATTTGGAAGAGGCAGGGATGGAGCTGGCAGAAGGAGGCATGGCTGGGGCAGGCAGGCATAACTGGGGCAGGCAGGGATGGCTGGAGCAGGCAGGGATGGAGCTGGAAGAGGCAGGGATGGAGCTGGAAGAGGTTGGGATGGAGCTGGAAGAGGCAAGGATGGCTGGAGTAGGCAGAGATGGCTGGAAGAGGCAGGGATGCAGCTGGCAGAGGCAGGGATGGCTGGGGCAGGCAGGGATGGGAGCTGGAAGAGGTTGGGATGGAGTTGGAAGAGGCAGGCATGGCTGGGGCAGGCAGGGATGGCTGGGGCAGGCAGGCAGGGATAGCTGGAGCAGCCAGGGATGCAGCTGGCAGAGGCAGGGATGGCTGCGGCAGGCAGGGCAGCGGGTCAGTCGGCAGGGCTGGAGCGTCTCTGCCGGGGTGAGGCGGAGGGGGCTGCGGCTGCTGAGCCCGGGGCAGAGCCCGGGGATCCCCGGTGCGGCACGGGCCGGGAGGGCCGTGCGGGCGAGCCCGGGGCAGAGCCCGGGGACAGGACCAGAGGGTCCCTCTGGAGCTCGGGACAGCCTTCTCAGCACTCCCAGCTCCGGCACTTGGGCCTTCCTGACTGGAATCATCACAGACTGACCGGCCAGCCATGGCGAGCCTGTGCCGAGCCAGGGAGTGTCCACAGGGACACGGAGCTGGGATGGAGCTGGAAGAGACAGAGATAGAGATGGAAGAGGCTGGGATGGCTGGGGCAGGCAGGGATGGAGCTGGCAGAAGCAGGCATGGCTGAGGCAGGGAGGGATAACTGGGGCAGGCAGGGATGGAGCTGGAAGAGGCAGGGATGGCCGGGGCAGGCAGGGATGGCTGCGGTAGGCAGGGATAGATTTGGAAGAGGCAGGGATGGAGCTGGAAGAGGCAGGGATAACTGGGGCAGTCTGGGATGGCTGCGGCAGGCAGGGATGGCCAGGGCAGGCAGGGATGGCTGGAAGAGGCAAGGATAACTGGGGCAGTCTGGGATGGCTGGAGCAGGTAGGGATGGCTGGAAGAGGCAGGGATGCAGCTGGCAGAGGCAGGGATGGCTGGGGCAGGCAGGGATGGCTGGAGCAGGCAGGGGTGGAGCTGGGAGAGGCAGGGATGGAGCTGGAAGAGGTTGGGATGGAGCTGGAAGAGGCAAGGATGGCTGGAGTAGGCAGAGATGGCTGGAAGAGGCAGGGATGGCTGGAGCAGGTAGGGATGGCTGGAAGAGGCAGGGATGCAGCTGGCAGAGGCAGGGCTGGAGCTGGCAGAGGCAGGCATGGCTGGAGCAGGCAGGGATGGCTGGGGCAGGCAGGGATGGGAGCTGGAAGAGGTTGGGATGGAGTTGGAAGAGGCAGGCATGGCTGGGGCAGGCAGGGATGGCTGGAGCAGGCAGGGATGGCTGTGGCAGGCAGGGATCAGGGATAGCTGGAGCAGGCAGGGATGTCTGGGGCAGGCAGGGATGGCTGGAGCAGGCGGGGATGGAGCTGGAAGAGGCAGGCATGGCCAGGGCAGGCAGGCATGGCCGGGGCAGGCAGGGATCAGGGATAGCTGGAGCAGGCAGGGATGGCTGGGGCAGGCAGGGATCAGGGATAGCTGGAGCAGGCAGGGATGCAGCTGGCAGAGGCAGGGACGGCGCTGGCAGAGGCAGGGATGGCGGGATGGATGCATGGATGAGCCGCACGCTGCAGATGCTGCCGCAGTCACGAGGCGCAGCCGCGGGAGCGCCGCAGCCGCGCTCGGGGGGAGCGGGGAGCGGGGGGGGCCCGAGGGCAGCGGACCCGGCTGCGGTGCGGGGACGGCCGGCTGCGGTGTCCCGGCGCTGCCAGGGCCCCGGGGCAGCGGTGGCAGCGAGCTCCATCCCTCCCTCCCTCCCTCCCTCCCTCCCGCACGGAGCCATTTCCACGCTCCGGGCCGGGGTCACCGGCTCCTTCCAGCGTGGGGCTCGTGGATGCCGTGCCTGGGACGAGCCACGGGAAATCCCCGCTGCAGTCAGTGCCCCCCGGTGTGGCCAGTCCCGGTGACAGAAGGGACCAGCATCTCAGAACAGGCCCCTCTCCCGTGCCTCAGTTTCCCCCCTGAGACCCCTGTGGATGAGGATGGGATGCCTGGGCACAGCTGGAGTGCACAGACACTCTGCTCCCCCGTGTCCCAGCGTGTCCCCTACCGTCCCAGTGTCCTGCAATGCCCCCCCCTTGTTCGCCCCTGTCCCCTGCTGTCCCCCAGCGCTCAGAGCACAGCTCTGGGCTGCTCTCCTCCTCCATCCTTGCTGCTTTGGGGGGCTCCAGCTGCCACAGGAAGGCTGGATCCCCCCCGTGCCAGCTGCAGGGTGCCATGCCGGTGTCACACTGGCCAGCCCAGGCTCTGTGCCAGCGTGGCCATGAGTGCCCAGCAGCCAGGGCCGAGTGCCAAGGGGTGCCAGCAGTGGGTGAGTGGGTGGGAGCCCCCCGCCCAGCCAGCAGCGCCCCGCTGCCGCGGCCGCCCCCGCTCCCCCGGCGGTTCTCACCCCCCGAAACCCTCGGGGTTATTTTTAGCCGCTTTCCTGGCAGCGCCTCGGCAGACCTGCGGATGTGCCGAGAGCACAGGAAGCAGCGGGGCTGCGCCGCTTCCCCTGCCCGCCGGGGGGGTCCCTGCCCCGGACCCCCAAACCCCGCCGGGGCAGAGCCGCGGCCCCGCCACCGGGCCCGGCGCTGGGGGCTCTGCCAGGCCCCGTGTCCCGGGGAGCCTTGGCTGGGCCCCGTGTCCCCCGGTGAGCCCCGGGTGGGCCCCGGGAGTCCCGGGTGGGCCCCGTGTCCCCCGGGGAGCCCCGGGTGGGCCCCGTGTCCCCCGGGAGTCCCGGGTGGGCCCCGTGTCCCCCGGGAGTCCCGGGTGGGCCCCGTCGCCCCGCGGGGTCCCATGGCCCCCCGCTGACGCCGCTCTCTGTTCGTGTGCAGGCAAGGACGAGAAGGAGGAAAACAACTTCGACACCCTGAAAATGGAGGCAAGTACGGCCTGGGGCTGCACCCTGCACGGCTGTGCCCGGGAGATGGGCACAGCCCGCCCCAGGAGATGGGCACAGCCCACCCCAGGAGATGGGCATAGCCCCACAGCCATCCCAGGAGATGGGCACAGCCCGCCCCAGGAGATGGGCACAGCCCACCCCAGGAGATGGGCATAGCCCCACAGCCATCCCAGGAGATGGGCACAGCCCGCCCCAGGAGATGGGCACAGCCCACCCCAGGAGATGGGCATAGCCCCACAGCCATCCCAGGAGATGGGCACAGCCCGCCCCAGGAGATGGGCACAGCCCACCCCAGGAGATGGGCATAGCCCCACAGCCATCCCAGGAGATGGGCACAGCCCGCCCCAGGAGATGGGCACAGCCCACCCCAGGAGATGGGCATAGCCCCACAGCCATCCCAGGAGATGGGCACAGCCCGCCCCAGGAGATGGGCACAGCCCACCCCAGGAGATGGGCATAGCCCCACAGCCATCCCAGGAGATGGGCACAGCCCGCCCCAGGAGATGGGCACAGCCCACCCCAGGAGATGGGCATAGCCCCACAGCCATCCCAGGAGATGGGCACAGCCCGCCCCAGGAGATGGGCACAGCCCACCCCAGGAGATGGGCATAGCCCCACAGCCATCCCAGGAGATGGGCACAGCCCGCCCCAGGAGATGGGCACAGCCCACCCCAGGAGATGGGCATAGCCCCACAGCCATCCCAGGAGATGGGCACAGCCCGCCCCAGGAGATGGGCACAGCCCACCCCAGGAGATGGGCATAGCCCCACAGCCATCCCAGGAGATGGGCACAGCCCGCCCCAGGAGATGGGCACAGCCCACCCCAGGAGATGGGCATAGCCCCACAGCCATCCCAGGAGATGGGCACAGCCCGCCCCAGGAGATGGGCACAGCCCACCCCAGGAGATGGGCATAGCCCCACAGCCATCCCAGGAGATGGGCACAGCCCGCCCCAGGAGATGGGCACAGCCCACCCCAGGAGATGGGCATAGCCCCACAGCCATCCCAGGAGATGGGCACAGCCCGCCCCAGGAGATGGGCACAGCCCACCCCAGGAGATGGGCATAGCCCCACAGCCATCCCAGGAGATGGGCACAGCCCGCCCCAGGAGATGGGCACAGCCCACCCCAGGAGATGGGCATAGCCCCACAGCCATCCCAGGAGATGGGCACAGCCCGCCCCAGGAGATGGGCACAGCCCACCCCAGGAGATGGGCATAGCCCCACAGCCATCCCAGGAGATGGGCACAGCCCGCCCCAGGAGATGGGCACAGCCCACCCCAGGAGATGGGCATAGCCCCACAGCCATCCCAGGAGATGGGCACAGCCCGCCCCAGGAGATGGGCACAGCCCACCCCAGGAGATGGGCATAGCCCCACAGCCATCCCAGGAGATGGGCACAGCCCGCCCCAGGAGATGGGCACAGCCCACCCCAGGAGATGGGCATAGCCCCACAGCCATCCCAGGAGATGGGCACAGCCCGCCCCAGGAGATGGGCACAGCCCACCCCAGGAGATGGGCATAGCCCCACAGCCATCCCAGGAGATGGGCACAGCCCGCCCCAGGAGATGGGCACAGCCCACCCCAGGAGATGGGCATAGCCCCACAGCCATCCCAGGAGATGGGCACAGCCCGCCCCAGGAGATGGGCACAGCCCACCCCAGGAGATGGGCATAGCCCCACAGCCATCCCAGGAGATGGGCACAGCCCGCCCCAGGAGATGGGCACAGCCCACCCCAGGAGATGGGCATAGCCCCACAGCCATCCCAGGAGATGGGCACAGCCCGCCCCAGGAGATGGGCACAGCCCACCCCAGGAGATGGGCATAGCCCCACAGCCATCCCAGGAGATGGGCACAGCCCGCCCCAGGAGATGGGCACAGCCCACCCCAGGAGATGGGCATAGCCCCACAGCCATCCCAGGAGATGGGCACAGCCCGCCCCAGGAGATGGGCACAGCCCACCCCAGGAGATGGGCATAGCCCCACAGCCATCCCAGGAGATGGGCACAGCCCCACAGCCCGCCCCAGGACATGGGCACGGCCCCACAGCCACCCCAGGAGATAGGCACAGCCCCACAGCCCACCCCAGGACATGGGCACAGTCCCAGAGCCCACCAGGCAGTGTGGTGCTCCTCGTGCCCATGGGTACCATCTCCCCCTCTCCCTTGGCACCGGTGGCTATGGGGGAGCTGCAGGGCCCACATCCCCACAGGATGGGGGTCCTGGGGGGTCCTGGGCTCCCATGCCACACAGCCAGACACCGGGCAGCACTTGCTGCAGTGCTGGGGACCGGTGGCACTGGGACGTGCCAGGTCAGTGACCCCCTCCAGCCCTGCTGAGCCCTCTCCTCAGTTCCCTCAGTTCTCTGGGCACAGTGTGTTGGGTCTGCTTTGGGGCAGATCTGTGCCTGGATGGCACTGGTGGTGCCCACCAAGTGCAGCTGTGATGCCATGGCATCCGCATCATTGAATCCCAGACTGGTTTGGGCTGGAGGGCACCTCGGAGTTCATCCACGGAGGGACACCTTCCACTAGACCGAGCTGCTCTGAGCCATGTCCCGTGTGCCCTGGAGCACTGCCAGGGCCCCAGGGACAGCCACAGCATCTCTGGGCACCCTGTGCCAGGGCATCACCACCCCACAGGGAAGAACTTCTGCCCAGCGTCACACCTCTGCACGCCAGGTCCTAGCGCACACGTGGGCCAGGCCACGTTCATGTGCCCAGGCAGGCCGTGCCCCCCTTGCCCGTCACAAGGTGTCCCCCGGGCAGCTCTGCCGTGTCCCCTGTGCCGTCCCCAAGCCGTGGCTGGCCCTCACCCGGCTCTCTCCGGCAGGGCTCGCGCGGGCGGCTCCGCGGCGGGCTGGGCTGGGAGTCGAGCCTGCGGCAGCGGCCGATGCAGCGGCACACCTTCCAGGCCGGGGACCCCTACTACATCAGCAAGAGGAAGCGCGACGAGTGGCTGGCACGCTGGAAGCGGGAGGTGAGGGCTGGCACCAGGGGGTGGCACCGCGGGGCCACTGAGCCACGAGGGTCCCACGCGTCGGTGGCACGGAGCCCGGGCTGGGGCTGGCCGGGCACACAGGGGATGGTCAGTGCACACAGGGCTTGGGTGGGCACAGGGGAGATGGTGGCACAGAGCCCGGGCTAGGGCTGGCCGGGCACACTGGGGATGGTCAGTGCACACAGGGCTTGGGTGGGCACAGGGGAGATGGTGGCACAGAGCCCGGGCACACTGGGGATGGTGGCACAGAGCCCGGGCTGGGGCTGGCTGGGCACACAGGGGATGGTGGCACAGAGCGTGGGCCGGGGCTGGCCAGGCACAGAGGGGATGGTGGCACAGAGCCCAGGCTGGGGCTGGCTGGGCACACTGGGGATGGTGGCACAGAGCATGGGCCGGGACTGGTCGGGCACACTGGGGATGGTGGCACAGAGCCCGGGCACACAGGGGATGGTGGCACAGAGCATGGGCCAGGACTGGTCGGGCACACTGGGGATGGTGGGCACACACAGGGGGCTCGGGTGGGCACACAGGGCTGCTGGAAAGGGTGCTCCGTGCTGCCGGTGGTGTCGCTGCCCCACTGGCACCTGAGTGTGGCCCCCGGCTCCGTTCCTCGCCCCTGTGCCCCCGGGGCTGCCCTCTCTCGGGGTCGGTGTGGGCAGCCGTGGGCAGCAGCCCGTTCTCCCGCGGGATGTGCCGCCCGTTCCTGCCGGTTTCCCCCGGGAACCGGCCCGTGGCACAGCCGGGCTCGTGGCAGGAGCCTGGCAGCCACAGTGGGCAGCAGGGACAGGGGCTCTGCGTCACACCCCTCACCCCATTGTCCCCACTGCCAGCGGGTCTCCCTGGCAGTGTGTCCCCTTGTGCCACCTCCTTGGCGCTATTTGTAGCCCTGCTGCCAAGCACCCTCCTGCTGGCACCCACAGGGACAGTGGCACAGCCAGGGCGTGCCACTGGGCATGGCTGCCATGGCCAGGCCGTGCCGTGGGGCACAGGGCATGGCTGGCACGGCCACGGTGTCCCCATGGGACACAGCTGGTACATTCACAGTGCCCCACAGGGCATGGCTGGCACGGCCACAGTGTCCCCATGGGACACATGGCACAGCTGGTACATTCAGTGTCCCACAGGGCACAGGGCATGGCTGACACAGCCACAGTGTCCCCACGGGACACATGGCACAGCTGGTACATTCAGTGTCCCACAGGGCACAGGAGGGGTCCCGGGCACAGCCCCCTGTCCTGCCCCATGTCCCCGGACAGGAGCCCTTGGGCACTGGCAGGTTCCTCTGCGTGGGGCTCCCCAAAACGTGCAGGTCCCCAAACCACGAGGGCCTCCAGAGCTGTCACTGGTCACTCCTGGGCTGTGATTTCAGGGAGCAGAGCTGGCTGGTGGCCCAGTGACCATTCACAGCTGCTGTGCCACCCACCGTCCGTGTCCCACTTTGGGGACACTCCCCACCATCTGTCTCAGCTGAGGTCACCAGCCCCACTACTGTGGGCACGGGGACAACCCAGCCCCCTCCAGCCTGGCCTCCTCTTCCTCACCCCTCAGCCTCTGAGGGGTGCAGCTGGCATGGGGACAGGGACAGCCAGGGTCAGTGCAGTGACACGGACACCTGGGGCCAGTGCAGGGACAGGGACACCCAGGGTCAGTGCAGTGACACGGACACCTGGGGCCAGTGCAGGGACAGGGACACCTGGGGACAGGGACACCCAGGGTCAGTGCAGTGACACAGACACCCGGGGCCAGTGCAGGGACAGGGACACCTGGGGACAGGGACACTCAGGGTCAGTGCAGGGACAGGGACAC